AATAATAAATAAAAAGGAAAAAAAACAGAATGGAAAATAGTTGAATTAAATAATTTTGTTGTAGTAAGTGATTTTCCTCATTTTATTTTCCTATTTATTTTAATAGCTTTACTGAGTTTTAGCTATAAGGAACTATAATATTAGCAACAGTATTTCGTTGTGGTTATGAAAATCGCTGTTAAAATAATAATAAATAAAAAGGTAAAAAATAGAATGGAAAATAGTTGAATTAAATAATTTTGTTGTAGTAAATGCTTTTCCTCATTTTATTTTCCTATTTCTTTTAATAGCTTTACTGAGGAACTATAGTTTTTAGCAACAGTATTTCGCTGTGGTTATGAAAATCGTTGTTAAGAGAATAATAAATTAAAAGGAAAAAAATAGAACGGAAAATAGTTGAATTGAATAATTTTTTTGTAGTAAATGATTTTCCTCATTTTATTTTCCTATTTATTTTAATAGCTTTACTGAGTTTTAGTTATGAGGAACTATAGTTTTTAGCAACAGTATTTCGTTGTGATTATGAAATCACTGCTAAAAGAATAAAAATAAAATGAAAAACAATCAAGTTAAATTATTTTGCTTTAGTAAAGGCTTTTCCTCATTTTATTTTCATATTTATTTTAATAGCTTTACTGAGTTTTAGTTATGAAGAACTATAGTTTTTTGCATCAGTATTCCGCAGTGATTATGAAAATCGCCATCAAAAGAATGAAATATTAAAGTGGAAAAGTAGTGAGAGTTAAATTACTTTGCTGTAGTAAATGCTATTCCTCACTTTATTTCCATATTTATTTTAATACTTTTACTGATTTTTAGTTATGATTAGAAACTAGTTTTAATAACAAAATTTCATAATTTTAAATAGAAAAGTAACAGATATAAATGATAAAGTTTTACTGATCGTGAAATCCTATCTTCAAAACATTGTGCAATCATTCAGTGTAGTCATATTTAGAAGGGTTTTACATTAATTCATTTTTGGCTAAGTCGTAATGTTTAAACAATATTATTTTGTATTAACTTGTGAAATTCACTGAAAAACTTTTGAAATTAAATTCTGTTTGGAAACAAATTTTATAAGAAAAAGTAGAAAAATATGGATTGTAATGCAGAAAATTATCTGAAAGACTATTCTTACTGTTGTATTTACTGAAAAACTTTTCTTAGGATTATAGTAGAATTAAAAATAACTTACTTTGGTTTTGTGTGAATTTAATGTTATCCATCTTGAAAACTTTAAAGATAAGTTTGAATCAACAAAATTTTTTAAAAAAAAATAGGACTTCAAAACTTAGAACATGTCAATATACGCTTGAATCCGTTATTCTCCAATTCAAACGATACATTTGGCTTTCATTCCTATTCTGTTCTGTGTCAGTTCAGCTGGTTTTTCACTTTCAGTGCTCTGCAACCTTCACTTAGAAGCGAAGTGGTGAAGGTCATGACATAAAACCTGTAATTCTTAGTTACATAACATAAATAATAGAGATGCAAAAAATTTTTGTGTTCTATCATTATACGTAAACATTAATACTTTTTATATCATTTCTTTTACGTTAGTTTGTAACTGTTGTCTTTGACACGGAATAGTCACGGGTATTTGTGCGGTCATGGAAATATAATATCGCGCTCATTTTTTTTTTAACGTGAACGGGTTATGTGACATTTTTAAAAAAAAGGCTTAATTATAACTTTCTAATGTTTCTATATATTCTAAAAATGATTTTCCGAAATTTAATAAAATACCATTTAACATTCATTTTAATTGTCTTTAATACAATTTAAACTTATTTACCCTCATGGACGATTAATTCTCTCAAAAGTTCTGAGCTTATTTATTCTCATAAAATGGTAGAATAATTCCCACAAAAGTTCTGTGCTCATATATTTTCAAAAAACGGTCTAATAATTCTCTTAAAAAAATTCACTTTATTCTCACAAAATGGTTGAATAATTCCCACAAAAGCTCCTTATACTCATAAAACGCTCACAAATGCTGAGCCTCTTTACTTGCACAAAATGGTCGAATATTTCTCACTAAAATATGGAGCTCTTTTACTCTCACAAAATGATTGAATAATTCTCACTGAAGTATTGAGCTACTATTTCATCACAAAATGGTCGAATAATTCTCACAGAAGTGTATGATTGCCTTAACAGCATTATATTAAATTTGAAGTTTATTTGGTTTTTATAGTAAATACTGGATCATGAATATTTTAATGTATTTATGTAAGAGAAAAAACTGCCATTTCCTGATCAGAGAGAACGTTACACATTTGATATGGAAAATTAACTTAGGAATGGAGAATAAAACTGACTTTTGCATCGGGAGAATAATCAATTTTCAACACCACGTCATCAATTTTTCTACACCAAATGAAATTACTATCATTCCACTCTTTGAAAGAAAACTTAAAAATTTTTGCACGTTTTATTTAATACTTATTTCTAGATTAGATGTAATTATTTAACACATATTAGTTAAGTTGGCGACATTTTAGAACATGTTAATAGGGGTTATTCTGAGAAAACATCCTAGTTGGATTCAGAGATATCCTATTAATTGAATTTCTTTTAGATAAAATTTTGTATTTGAAAATAAGCTTGGAATTCATTTTAAATTATTATTTTACTATATTAGATTATTCGTGTTTACAACTTGTTTGAATTGAATAAATAAAATATTAATAACAAAATATTTCAATGTTAAAGTTTTTTAAAAAAAAATGATTTATATTTTTTTTGCGTGAAGTAAAATTGAAATAAATGGGAAAGGTCAAAATAAAAATTTTCAATCTTAAAATTACAAAAGAAAGGAAAAAAAAAAAAAAACGCGATTGCTATAATTGCGTTTTAAAACAAATTCTACAAAATTCCTGAAAACGAATTCCATAGAATTTGTTTTCTAGCAGACACTTCTTCAGTTTGCAGTTCTTAACACAAGAGAAAAAAATTATTTATGATATAAACAAACATTTTCCTCAATCAACACACAATATCGATGATAATGAATCTATCGAACCTTGAACACAACAGGTTAAAAAGAAAATATTTGTAAACATTAAGTAATTATTTCTTTTTGAAACGTATTGTTTGTAAATGCAAGATCATAGATACGATTTTAAAGTATAAGGTGGAAAATAAAATTGTAAAGGCATAATTTATGTAAGCTTCTTTTAGTAGGATCAACATGATGGGGAAAGGTGGGTGTGAGCCACTTGAACGGGGAGAAAGAGAAAAACAATTGACTCACAAAAGTTTTCTTTTTTCCATTAAATATTTCAATACATTTCAGAAATTAAGACATGTTTTTTAATCTAAGGTGCAGTTAATACTGAAAATTTCTTCTCGTAAAAATTATTATTTTTTATTAGGTACTTGCAACTAATCACATGGTTGTGCATGGTGCGTTAACGTTAAAACTCTAAGGCCTTGGTTTGTTATCACGCTGAATCAATTTTCGGATAAGATTTAATTGGATACCTGCCTTGGTTCGAACCTGATTGGCTGACTCACGCTTGAAATATATTACTGTTTGGGGTGAAATATACCTCGATAAAAAAAGCCATGAATAATCTGTTGAATCACTTATGAGGAAGGTGGTATGAAAACTATAGAAATTAGTTTGATGGCCTGTTAAACATGAAGATGAAGTTTTTTTTTTTTAATAGTAGCCTTTCAACTCCTCCGGCAATCAAACAGGTTTCCGTGTAATCGGCTCCATCTTTTTTAGCAGCGAGCATTTAGACTTGAAATTGTTTTGATTTAAATATTATTTTTTGAGCACAATTTTTTTCATTTTTGACAAGGATTCAAAAACTACATGGTAAGATCAGTGATTATGGAGCACCCTGCTTTTCATAATCAGCGATGATTAACTGAGTCACTTAGCGGGTTAAAAGCTTTTATTGTAAAAATGATGACAAAAAAAGGGGGGGGGCAGGGGAATTAAAAAGATTGCATATTTAAGGAGAGCACAATTGTTCAAACAGTTAAAAAAAGCACCCGAAATAGAAAGGTGCTTTTTCTTTATATATAAATTTTCACCAAAAACTCTAGTCAACGTTTTTGGGTGACCATATTAACATTCTTGATGTTATTTTTGAAAAATATTATAATTACAGAAAGTATATCCCATTTTCTTTTATCAACTAACAAGCAAGACGTGCTTGAGGCAATTCATACCACGAATACCAAATTTCATTGCTACCTTGTACGTGGACTGTAACACCAATTTCAAACTTACTAAAAAACTTGATAACTTGTCATGCAGCAGCAAGAACCAATCTGACAACCCAACCAAGCACTTATCTTATTTAGTGTAACTCTGATTGGTTGCATACCCCGGATAATTGCACACAACTGTCTATACCAGTTTTTTTCGGCTTTCCAGTATATACGAGCAATTCAGTATATAATATATCCATTCAATCCAGTATATAATAATGAATGGAATATCGTTAAGAAAAAATCTAGAAGAAATAAAATTAAGGTACCTAGGTGATGAAATTTTCTCAAAATATTTTTACTTTTTATTAAATATTTTAGATTAAAAACATAGAAAATGAGACAACATTTACAATTAGTTAAAGCTAATTTGATTAAGTAGAAACATTTTACTAGAAAAATAATTTAAAAGTATGAACTTATACTAAATTAGGAAATTAGTTCCCTTATTTTTTCTGAAAATTATTCTAAATAAATAAAATTATATATATTTGCAGATATAATCGTGTGAGCTGATGAGACATATACATATATATATCAGGGTTGCCACAGAAAAAAAAATGAACAAAATAGTTGCTTTCAGTAGCCAAAAGCGTGAAAATAGTTGCCTAAATAAGAACAAAAATTCAGCAAAAATAAGACTAAAATTTTATTAAATGACTTAATTGTCATATACCATGATCCATTTAGTCAAGTTGGTGGCAAATATGATAATTTTTATATAAACGTTAGTGTTCTACCACTAAATTTTTATATAAAAAAAATTAGTATATCTGCAGAAAATTAAGTACTTTTAATTACTAGAATTCATTCAAAAAATACTTTTTCATTGAAAAAAAAACACACTTTTTCTAAGAAATTTTCCCTTTTATCATTAATTGATTTAGCAAATATATATATATTCGAAATTCATGCATCGTAATATCGTATTAAAAATTGTTTTGTTATCATGCAGAATTTCGTAGCAATAACCATTGAAAAGGGGATAGAAAAACGAAATAGACTTACGATAGAATCTGTGCAAATTGAATGCATTAAAAAGTGATGACTCTAATTTGCAATCCAAATTTTTTTAGTTCCTTATTTAATTTTTTTAAATTTTATTATTTTTATTATAAATTTTTTATTTTTTGAGAAAAAAATTCAGTGTGTTCAGAAGATTTCGCTGGCTGCTGGTTTTCAACCCAATTTATGTTAAAAAAAACATTGCTAGGAGTACAGAAAAGTCTCCTTTTCATGAAAATAGTTCCTTTTTTAGCCTTTTCAGGCAAAAAAAGTTGCCATAGTCGCCTCATGCTTAAAAGAGTTGCAAATCCTTGCATTTTAGTCGCCTGTGGCAACCCTGATATATATATAAGTTAAAAATACAGAGAAAACATGGAAAAATAAAGATTAATTAAAAGAGATGAAGAAAAATAATTAAAATAAAATATTTTGTAATAAAATAAAAATTATAATAAAAATAAAAGATTCTAATATAAAATAAATAATTTTTTCCCATGTTTTCTCTATGTTTTTAATTTATTTTGTGAGTTCTATACACTTGTTGATCTGAAAAGCAGAACAGAGAAATTTGAAAAGCTTCACAAAAGAAAACACACAGAAAAGAAATAGCTCTAAAATGCACTAATGGATAATCGATGTGGGGACACTCGCAAAGGCTCATCCATTTCACTTTATATTTTAGTGTTATTTCTTTTACGTGTTTTTTTTTTTTTTTTTTTTTTTTTTTTTTTTTTTTGTCAAGCTTTGGATGCTATTTCCTTTTCTGTTTTTCCGATTTCACCTGTCGTGGTAATCTTTACAGTTTCATGTCAGGTAATTATATATATATATATATATAACAAAAAAAATTTATACACCATATCGTTTATTCACAGTTCAAGAAAACTATATTCATCATAATAAAATTTATTTTACAAGCAAAAAAGAGGTATTAAAATTTTAAATATCACAAATTTTGCTCAATATAATAGAGAAAAATACATTCCAAAATTAACAATGTTAAAAAAAATCCATTAAAAAAACACAGTAAATGTTATGTTCCATTGTAGTAAAAATTTTTAACACAGATTTTAAAAAACAACTAATGTTTATTCTCACAGAATAAATTAAAAATGCAAAATATTATTTTTTGAAAATTTCTATCAACTAAAATTTATTCCGGCTTAAAGACCACTCAAATTTTTTTTAAATAAATTAAGTACATTTTCTCACTTTAATCAAAATTAAACAGCATTTTTTCACAAATACACTTTAACATAAACATGAATAAAGTAGTAATAAATAATAATTTTTATGGAAAAGCATACCTATAAAATTCACAGAACTACAGATCAAAAAATATCACACTTTTGAAAATTTATAAATATACTACATTATTAATAAATATACTACATCATTAAATAAATACTACATATTTATAAATTTTAAATAATATAAAACACCAAGTACCTAAGAAATGAATATTATAGCAAGCTTGCTACTAGATATAATAATAAAACTGAGACCACATATCAAACTATTTATCACTTAGTAAAAAGACTAGAAAAAAATTATAAATAAATACTAGTCAAAAGAATATTTGAATTACGTAACTCTATAATTCTAATATATCTTATATTCAATAACAGAACTTAATGAAAAAAAAAATAAGTCAACAGATTGTTTATCAGCACATTTTCATTGTATAAAGATAAAGTCAATAAAATAACAACAATATATATCATAACATCTACTGTCACCACATTGAAAAAAGAGCAACTATAAAACAAATCTATCAACATTTTTATTAACTATTTTTAAATATAACTTTATTTTTAAAATAATCCTAAATAGAATCCGTAATTAAAAATTTTAATAAATTGATTTGAAAACTTACAGATAATTCCTTGAAGTAATATCTGAAAATATTGTCAAGAATACTTCAAAAGTTGCATTAAAAATAATTAAAAATGAGAAACTTATAATTAAATTCCAATATTATATATTTTTTATAGTACATATTGTATTGTACAACTATTGTCAATTATTATTTGAATTTTGGAATAACTATTAGCAAAATTCGATACTTTTTGTATTATAATAAGAAAAAATATTTTTTACATCAAGCAGTAATAAAATATTATGAAAAATATTTTAAATTTGCATAAATAAGTTAAGACCTTTTGGAATTAATAAGAAAAATTTTTTCAAATCAATTCAGTTTTGAGCAACTATTTTAAATATTTCTTTTCACAAAAATACACTTTTGTTCATAGCATTGTGCACAAGTTCATGATATAAATGGAAAATTTTGGTATGCTTGCTAGATTAGTGCATTTAAATTTGAATACAACACATAGAAAATATTAATTATCTTTTTTTAAAAAGAATATTAAAATTATTACAAAAGTCTCACAAGCAAACAATTTTTTTTCATTCATTTTTTTGAGAGCTAGTATTATAAACATACAAATATTTGATAATTTTTTTTCTTTTAGTTTGTATGAAAATATTTAGAATAACAATTACTACAAAAATAATTAACAGTTAAAAAAAATAATAAATAAAAAAAAATAATAAATAAATGTTTAAAAAACAAAACCCATATTTATAGTTAAAAATATTTACTTTCTTATTAACAAATAATTTAGATTTTATATAGTATTTTTTTAATACTTTCGTAAGTTTCAAACTGGTAAAAAGATAAAATGACAATTTAACAAAAATTAAGTCCAAAAATTTTAAATTAATATAAATTTTTGGTTGTTAAATACAAAATGATATTCTTAATTTTTATTTGACCCATGTTATATGGGGAAAAAAAAAATTAAGATCCTTGTCTCTTAATAGTCCTAAACCACGTAACACAGTTTTTTCTCAATGTGCATTTGTTAAATTATATACAATCAAGAAACAAAAATGCCATTAAAAGAGTAAAAAGACTTCAAAAATGCAAAAAAATTGGGTCTTAGTAATTACCCATCTTAATTGTATACTACAGAAATTATAAAAGACAGAAATCCTGAGGGGAAATAATACAGCAGGTAAGTTTTTTATTAAACTTGCTGAGAGTATGGCTATTAGATCAAGTGTTTTTACGATCCAAAACTTTCAAAATAAGAAAACCTATAAACTAAAATTGTATTAATTTTTAGTATTTCTCTTCAAAACCTTGTGTTGAGAGTCTACAATGTGTTCTAATTATTACTTTTAAAGTCTGTATATTTTTTAAATGATCTAAATGCTTTAAAAATGAGAAAAAGAACTTAGAATAAGAATTATTTCAAAATATTTAGTAGGATTTAACTACAACAAAGAACAATTTTATATCAAACAATTTATATGATATATTATATATATTTTTCGCTATTTTATATAAACAGTAAACACTTCAAAACACACACGTAATTTGAATGTTTATAATTATTTGATCTACACTACCTTTAACAGAATTTTTTTTAAACTAAATGGTGTGTTCATATATTGCACATTAAAAGCTCATTTGTAAACTTGAGCAGTGTAATTTTTACGAAGAATAAGTTGGCAAAATGTATACATACAAATTAATACATGATAAAACAACATGAGGAAGAAATAAATAACTACTGCCTGGTAATCTCGAGATAAGATCTCAGTTAAGTTGCTTTTAACTCCTTCGCAACGGGAATTACAAACGTGTGCTTATTGCTGGGGCCTGGAGTCTTTTTTGCAAGCACCAGTCCGGGACTGGAGAGTTTTTTGCTGCTAGGTCTAAATCTAGGAAATTACTAAAATATGAACACATTCTTTAATAGCGTAAAGTAGATAAACGACTTATACTTCATATATTTTTTATTTACATACTTTATTTACTTAAGTTTTTCTTCTTTTTAAATAATTTTTTCAATATTTATTTACTATGTAATAACTTTTAACAATACTGACTTTGATTTTTTTCAATGTTTTAAAATTACCATGAAATTTGCAGATTTCACTCATTAAATTTGTTATTTTATAAAAGCAAAAACAAAAGATTCATTATTGTCGAATTTTTTAATTATTCTAATAATTTGAATCAAAGTTGTTGTAAGTACTCATTTTAAAGAGTCATCATAACATTGGATTGGGAAACATGCCTTTCACATCATGTTTATATAATCAAAAACCATGTGCATGGGAGTCATATATTTCTCATTTCGAGTAGAAGGTCAAATCTACTTGTATCTAAAATATCATGGAGAAGAAATTCCATCTTGTGTTTAAAATAATAGCTTTTAAAACATTTAAAAACACTCTTAGAAATGCATAGCAGAAGTGAGTGAACGAAAAAGCGCTCTGACACACCGGTGTGTCGGCTGGGATGTCAGAGAGTTTCATGCTGGCGTGCAACCTTTATGCACTCTCTGCTGCAACAGTCAGGGCGAAAGGGTTAATGAAGTCAGGGATTCATCTCATAAATGACAGACAGTAGATAATTACAGCGGTGGCATAACAACAAATTTCCTTTCTACAAAAATTTGTTGATTAGTTTTGTATTTTAAAATAAATGCATCCAATTTTTGCCCCATTACTTAAACATTTTTTTTCTTCTTCATTTTGAGACACAGCAAAGTTAACTGCTAAACCAATCTTAAAGTCAAAACATAAATGTTTGCCTTAATCTTGTTCAGCATCAAAAGTATTCACTTTTTATCCTTGGATCAGGTTGTGATTTTCATTCTGACACATGAAGATACAGAATTTATTAGGCATTAGAACTGGTGAACCTCTTCCTTGGCTATCAAGGTTGAAACCAGTATTCACATTGTAAATGAAACAGTCTAGAGGCTTTGATCATTATGTGTTGTCAGTAAAAAGTGCAGGCTGGAAGGATCATTATAAATGTGAAAAACAAAACAAAATTGGATAATAACAAAAAGCCAATACCTCTTCTTTTCTCTTAAAAATGGAGAGAGAAAAAGATGTTTGAAAGTATGCAATTAATTTTTTTTTATATATTTTAACAATGTGTGAAAACACTTCTAAAACAGTAATATTAAACATATCTTTAATCTTTAAGTCAAACTTTTAAAGGGCACACTTGATTTGACTGAATTAACAAAATTATGAGGAAAATTATTAAAAGTAGAATTGAAAAAAGAAAAATGACTTTTATTATATAATTTCTATTTTTTTCCCCAACACTTTGCAAAATTTCTTTTTAAATTCATACATTATTTCCTAAAACTTCTTTTAAACACACTAAATTATGTAATTTAAAAAAGTAAAATTTCATACACATAGATATAGATAACAATAAGGATAAAAAAATTCTTTAAGTAAAAAATTTGATTTCGATATAATAAAATTTTGAAAATAGAGAGAGAGTCATTTAATGAATATGGTGATAAGTACTGATTTAAAGAATAATAAATTAATAAATATAAAAACAATAGACAGAATCTCAGCATGAGCATTATTTTGAAACTAACATCCAATACCAGTATAAGATATACTGAGACATTTCATTTTTCTTCTGCTGTACCACAAGTATCTGTTTGTAATTGTTCGCTTCATAAAGTTAAGAAACATAAATAAATATTGAAAGCAAAACAAAAACATTTAAATTTCTAACTAGATTAAAATCATTAATTTGCTTCAAAAATCTTAGGCATTCAGTTTCTTGGAATTATTTTACATCTAAATTTCTGTTTTCATGACTGAATTTTTTTCTAAAAAAAAAGAAAAAAAAGAAAGAAAGAAAGAAATGTTAATCAACACAATAGAATTATATTACATTTTTAACCCTTTTGAGCATTTAGCTCCTGAGAAAGTTCGTAAAAATTTTTCTTTTTAATACACTATTTTACTACGGAATAAAACAGGGGAAAACGTGATTGTTATGATAAGGATAGCAATAAGCTGATATTGCGAGTCAAACCTTCAGAAGGAAACACCATGAACTTAATTAAAGAATAATCCTTTTTTTAAATATTTGAAATAAGAAAGAATTCTATTAAACGATATTCTTTATTCCACATATTTATTTTACAACTAGGAATTTAAAACTACATTTTAGAACAATCGATCTTACTTTACAAAAAACTAACAAATTAACAAGTACATAATTACCTAAAACAATAACTTAATAATACAAATTAACTTTTTCATACTTCAATTTATGCTTTATTTTTAAATTTTTGAAGCATAAACTGTATTGTATTTGAGCTGTATAAAAATGTATATTCTGCACCAATGAAAAACTAAAAAATTTTTAACGAAAAGTAGTAAGTTGTCAATTGTATAAAAATCTGTTAAAATTATTGTTATATATAAAAAAATTTGTATAAATAATATAATGATTTTAAATCTCAATGGAAAAACATTAAAAGGATACATTGACAAGCTAAGCTGTTGAAGCTGAAATAAAAAGAGATAAACTAAATAGACATGATAATAAATAAAATAAATACATCTTCCAAGCACTTTAATTATATTTAAGAAGGTTATTATGAGCAATTATAATACAAGTGAAAATATAAAGAAAGAGAAATTACCATCCACATTTTAAAATATAGTTAACAACTTTAGTGTGATAGGTGATTTTGCAACTAATTGAAAAAATTTTCAAAAGAGTTTTGCTCTTTGGAACAACAATAATCACTGAAAACTTCAATTTGCATAGATATGTGATAGCAAAGAGAACGAACCATAAAAAATACTTCCCTTTAGATAGCAAAATATTATTATATTAAATCCTAAATATAAAACTTGAATTCATGGACACCCCAGCATTCAAACACAAATGTTAGAAAGGGTAGAGGAATGACATTTCCAAATTGGTTCAAGGAAACTGGCTGACAAGGAAGAAGCTAACATTTAAAGAGGATGGCCCATGGAACAAACAACTGCTTTTATTCTTAATTAAAGAGAGTTTTACAAGTATTTAAATTATTCTGTTGTAGTTCAAAAAAATGTGTAGAATTGACGATTGATAATGGAGAGTAGTTCTAAAACAAAACAATCCAAAAGGAATCTTATTTTCCTACAAAACTTATTCGATAAAGAGTAAAATCAATATTATTGCAGCTAATCTGGCAGTAATATCCTTAAAAAAGTTTGTCAGAGTCAAATAATGCATGATTAAGCGTTATTCACAATATTAAATGTAAGGTTATTAAAAAATAATTTTTTATTACATATGATTCTTTCCCATGTCAAGTATAACATTCGAGAAATTGGAATACAATTTTGTGTTACATTAGGAGCTTCAGATTTATGTTAAAAACAATAATCTAGCACACAGTGATGCAGAGACTGAATATTGAAATTCGCAAATAGCAACATCCACTTTTTTTTTATCAAAACATTATCCTCAGAGCAAGAAACATAAAATGGAGTAGAAACAATCTTCTTGGTCTAGAAAATAGCATCACTAAAAACGAATGAAAAAAAAGTATTCCATTAATCTTCAATGTCTGAGCAATTCAGTTCTACTAAATACGTTTTGGTGGCAAAAGAAAAGACAAGTAAAGCATATATATCGTAAGCTGTAACTTGGTTTCTTCATCTTAGTGTAGTGCTGCCACCATTTGTGCTAAAATGTTGTACAAATTGCATTTAAAATTTATTACTAAGAGGGTAAGATTTTGAAAAAAAAAAGTTAGTATTGCCCATTGAAAATTTCGAAATTTTGTCATTGCAACTATAATAGCTGAATGATCAACTTTCTGCTCCTGAATCTGCTCATTAAAATACCCGTAAACAAAATTTTATTATGTTCCATACAGTTTAAATGTTGAACCTTGACAAAGTTATTCTTTAATCATATAATCCTCACTTGTAGTTTTGTTCCTTTTTTGCTCATTATTAGCTGGCTAGAATTTGCTATCTTTACAAAGTTCAGCTTTTTCACACGATCTTTTTACGGCTTTTTTCTCCCAATCGTGTTAAAAAAGCTTTTTTCAAATGATCAAAAATTGTGGGAAAAATTAAAGGAATTTATACAAGAAAAAGCATTTCATTTTTAAAACATCAGTCCACAAGAAGCTCACTTTTATAAAATAGCAAACATATTTTAAATTAAAATATGGTTTTATTAACATGCTTTGACATGTAATGATTCTGTCCTTGTGGATTTAATTTCTAAGCATGATTGATTTTATAATCCAGTGATTTCATCAAGGGCAATCAATGTCATAGAAATAATTTAAAACTAAAAGAATATAAATATTCAATTATCTTCTTGTTAGGAATTCGGTAAGAATTATAAAGCAACTATAAAATTCATTTGAAACTTATATAGTCACAGTAAATTTTTATTTGCATAACAAATGAACATTAAAAAAACTATCATAGTAAAATAGTGTACACAAAATTTTTAGCAAACAAAGTTATCAAAATGGTTATTTATAAGTAAAAATATCATTTTTTAAAATTATGTTTTAAATCATTCAATTAAAAAAATAAAAATAATAACAAAAAGAGTACAGAAGTAAATATTCATATGAACACTTTAACAATATTAAGAAATAAGTAATATTTTGTTTTCATCCAAATGATGATAGACAATTTATCATAAATTTTAAAACTTACATTATCCATCAGTTTTGAAAGATTTCCTTTGGCCATATTGATCCCTTCAGCAGTATATTGACTTTAAAGTAAATAAAAGCAAAGGGTAAATATGTATATTCTTCATAAAAATTTAAAGCATTTTTCAAGTTTAAAACTAAAAAATGTTTCAGACCTAACCATTACAAATATAATTTCAAGTTCCTTCTTAGAAAAATAGAGCTGAACAAAAGTTCGCACCGTATTCCTGTTTTTTTAAGGAAATTGTTTATGGTTATAACAGTTAAAGAAAAAAACTAAAACTGATACATTTAATTTGCATTTACTTATTTTAACCTTTGCTACATAAAATAATAATTAGAAAACTAGTTTTGAAGAGGGTTAGCAAAGCAAAATAGTCTTATATCTTTAGAGTTATAATAATTTAGGCTTTTGTATATTTTTTTTAAGACACACAATGTACTCTGAAGAAAAGGTAAGAAGTTTCATATTCATATTTCAAATTAAGCAAGATAGGTATTTATTGAAAAAAACAACAACACAATAATGAGAATAAAGAGTCTTTGCAGTGCAAGATAATTTGATACATCATATATATATATATATAATAAAATAAAACAAGGATTTATAAAGGTTCACAGAAAAATATTCAAATTAACAGGTTGCCAAAATTAATTTTAAGAGCTTAGACATTTTTCTTCTGTGTATTTTCATAGAATAAATTCAACATATTTATGCAAAACATATACAAAAAATTACCATCCTTACCCATGAATTTCTTGTTGAGCATTTAAGTCAAAATGAAGTCGTGCAAGCTTCTCTTGCTGCTCCCTGACATTTTCCATTTTTTCAAAAGTACAACTGCTACCTATTAAAAACATAATTTTACACATTTTAAATGCTGTTAAAAGAGAATATTTCATTGGTGCTAGACATGAATAGAATGCATAAAAAATTAATGGTAGCTAAAATATTTTTTATTAATATTTACTGATGTATTAGTTTGCTGATGAAAGAAATATTTATCATTTCAACCACCTATTAATAAGTTAGAAACAATATATATAGGACTAAACTTTTTAAATGCTCTTTAATTTCATACTGAAAGTGTTGCATAATAGGAAAAGAAATCGTAATAAAAATATTTAAGATTTTTTTTTGTAGTCTAAATTAATATTTTGCTCCTTGAATAAAAAAAAATTCTGCTTTGTATAACATTTAATACCGGTTATGTGCGCAGATCTGTGCACATAACCGGTATTAAATGTATCTATTAGTATCTATACTAATGCGAGATAAGATACTATGCTGTTCATTATTCATAAGCACAATTTGCATTTGGTTGTTGACTAGATAACAAAATATTTATATGATTTTTATAACCATGCCATATACTTTAAGAAAACACTGATTAGCAAACAATCAACAAAATATAAACCAAGAATGAGTTTCACAAAAAGTTTTATTTATTGATTAAGAATCATTTAAAAAGCACTAAGTAACCATTCAGAGAGTGATGAAAAAGTAGCAAAGAAAAATTTTCATGAGAAAAAACATTTTTACCAAAGCCTGCTAATTTTCCACTGTGAAAATCTTCAAGCAATTGTAATAAGCCTTGTTCCATTTGACGAAAATCAGCAGCATCTAATTTTTTGAATGAAAAAAAAAAAGATTAATGACACTGGAATTAAAATATCTAAAATTATCAAACCAAATTTTCTTAAAATTACTGTTGAAATCATGTTTTTTTTAAAAGGAATATAAAACTACAATATTAAAAGATATTTACCTTTTGCGCTTGAAGACTGAGGTGGTTTTGGTGGTATCCTAACTTCAGCTTTCTTTTTTGAGTGACCATAAAACGTACCAGAGCTTGAAAATGTCATAACACTATTTTTACTAGTTTGACTCACAGATAAAGAATTGGTATGGCATACTTGAATTTCAGATTGAGATTTTGCTAATGTTTTTTCACTTTGGCTAGGTCGATTGCTACGCCCTCCACCATTGCCTAGGCTCGATGATACACCGGGAAATTTGTCTTTAGCCGATGTTTCATAAGAGCCAATGGAATGTCTAGCTTCGTGTGATATTTTTGGCAGCACTTCATCTACATTCTCAATCTGAATGACAGATTCTTCAGTTTTTTTTACTTCTAGGGTTGGTTCTGTCTTTGTATTTGCTGTATGAATTGCTGTTTCTTCAGTAGCAGCACTCATCTTTGAGAGTTTAAGTCAATAAATGATTCCGGTCCATCAAAGCTGTACAATAAGAATACATTAAGATCAATTGACAATGAAAATATTTAAGAAATGAATGTGAAAAAATTGAGTTTTAAAAAACGCAATGTAATCAATAAAGTTTTTGCTTTGCCATTGTATGAAGTGAGAATATGTAAGGAAATCACCTGGTTTAAAAAAACTTTTGGGCGAGAGTAGAAATCTCCGTTGCTATAAAAGCAGATCCAATGTACACTTTCATCAATCGAAACACGTAAAGACAAACGGATTGTAGAAGTATCACATTCAATGATGTTTGCTTTACGACTTCAATATGGGCTTATCAGCAACTGTATCAAGTCATTAAATATGCCGAGGCATTGGTTTAAAAAATTCAGATCAAAAGCACTCATGAACTTCATTGCACCGAAAAAGGCAATTACACATTCGCAGAAGTTGCTGGATGCCAATGGCGATTACTTTGAAGACTAATAACAGGCTACACTTTCTGTAACTCTTTTTTTTTTTACCATAAAAAATGGCAAGAACTTTATTGGTTACCTTGTAACAAGAGTTGCTTTGAAACTTGCTGCTAGAAAAACCAAACATGTGAGAAAAATTGAAAATTAGGTTCCTGATGATGAAATAAGTCGTAAAAGCATAGAAATTAAAAAAAAATAAATACTAAATAAATAAATAAAAAAATGGAAAGTTTTGCTTTAAAGCATTTTGAATTTTTCTTAAAAAATTTTTCCTTAATTTTAGAAATTTGCTTCCTATGGTCTGAAATTAATGTTTGAAATATTAGGAATAAGAAGAAAATTATAACATTTCTTGAATATTGAAAAAATTTCTTTTTCATAGATTTATAATGAGATGATGGATAACATATAAATGTAATAATATAAAGGTAGTAAGACACTTAAGAAGCTGAATCGGTTACTTATAGAATGAAATCGTGACCAGGTATTAAAATTAATAGAAATTTAAATTTTTATCATAAATAAACTTCGAAAAGTTAAAACTTCCTCACAAACTTGTAACAAGAGTTGCTTTNTCAAAAAAAAAAAAAAAAATTTAAAAGATGGAAAATTAACTCTAATAAATAATATCCTAATAAGAATAAGATATTTTCCTTGGTAAAATAATTTTTAATGTTAATAAACAATTAAAATATTTTTTTTATAAACATCAAAATCATTTAAAAACTCGCATTTTAAATATTTGCCTGCTTCTAACCACACTTAAAATATCAAATTATACACAAAAATTTTAATGAAGGTAAAAAGAAACACAATAAGGAAAATATCACAAAATGTAATTTTATTATTTTTAAAAAGGGGGAAATACCTAGGATAATAACTGTCAAATATAGCTACGTGGTTATTGCTAAATTAAAACTCCAAAGGTATGATGTCTTTTTTGTTGATTAAGCGGATATATCAATTTCAGATATATCTTTCTGTTACTAAGTCTCCCTTTTTAAATAATTAGACACAGACTAGACAATGTATTCTTAACTCTGTAGCAAGAATCTACAGGCTTATATACCATTGGTGTAAAACTTGGTGAGGTTATAAGTTCATATATTGGTCATGCTCTGATTTAAAAAAAAATTACAATCTGCGGATTAATGGATGGCGCGTGAATGTGTCTTCACTGTAAAATGTGACCTACGTATGTTGTCTCCGGATAATTCTCAGGGATGTTTTCCAGATTGTCGCCAATAGCCCATTGTGCAGTTTTTGTGCGACATAAATAAAAGTACTATGTAAAACTTAAAAAAAAAACAATATCATGATTATGATAGAACTACGAAAAACTAAAAAGAAAGATAAAACTAACTTAAAATAAATAGACCTTATATTTTAATTTTCAATATAGGAAGTTTTCTTCAATTAAAACTTATCTGAAATATATCAATCTTTAAAATTTATGCTATAAGATTTAAAGAATGGATGATAAAAATTTTAAAGAAACAAAATTTTATGATTTATGAACGACGGTTATAATGTGAAATTTTATTTAAAATCATCTAATAATTATGAGAAAATTGAAAGTAATAACATACTTCTTAAAACATTTTCTTATTTGAAAAATAATCAGTTATTCGTAGAAGACTGAAAGAAAGCAATTTTTTTCATACTGAAAAAAAAAAAAAAGAAGTTTTCTTTTTTGAGTTACATTTTCTAACGCAGTTACAGTAAGTTAAAATCTGGACGATTTTTCAAGCTAATCTAACAAAAATTTAGAATAGTCCGTATGATGTAATCTTTTGGGACACTTTAATTGATTTTTAATTATTAAAATTGCCTTAAAATAATAAAAAAACACAGATTTGCAAAGAACATTTCTTTACATAGCAGACCACTGGTATTTGTTTATTGAATGAATTGCTAACCGCTCAATTATTTATGCTCTATGTAAAATTAAATGCTTGTTTACAGCTTTCATATAGAAACGAAATGAAAATACAATGTAAGCTAAAAGCTGCATTTGCTTAATTAGAAATTTCCAGCAAAGATTTAGATATCAACACTCCTTTTTTTTGTTTTGCAATTTTAAATTTAAATTTTATTTGAATTATAAGAGGGCGCCACTTTTTTTTTACTTTAATTTTAGCTGTTGAAATTTTTAAAAACTTTTTTGCTTAGTATCCATTTTAATAAACACGTGGTGTTGGTCGGCTGATAAGATAAGATAAGATGAGCCGGCTGAACGATTAACTAAATTGATAAAACAGTTTTTAATGCTGCAGATATTTATCTTACTGTGAGATCAATTCAGATCATCTCAAAGCATTGAAATGCTGCGTTATTATTTAACTCCAGCTTTGTCGGAGCATAAATTGCGATCAGTGCAAAATAAATTGAATTTGAAACTATCTGATTTTAAAATAAATGAAATTGAATCAGAATATTGTTATTATGTGAAATCAGATAGAGCTCTTAAGCTTGAAGAAAAATCAAAGTTGACGTGGATTCTAAAATCATCTGACTCTGAAATATCCGAAAGCAGCCGTTTTATTGAATCTGTGAGTAATTCAAGATGTCTTATTATAGAAGTTGGGCCAAGATTGAATTTTTCTACACCTTTCTCCACAAATGCAGTTTCGATATGTGAATCTATCCACCTACCTGTAAGTAGAATCGAGCGATCCATCAGGTATTTCTTACGATTCTCTTCGAGTTATTCAGCTGAGATAAAGAATGCTATTACTGGGCTGCTACATGACAGAATGACTGAATGTGTCTATGAGCATCCACTTACAACTTTTGATATAAAATTTACTCCTGAGCCTTGGTATGAAGTGGATATATTGGGTTCTGGAAGGAAAGCTCTTGAAGAAATTAGTAATTCCCATGGCTTGGCTATGGATGATTGGGATTTGGATTTTTATACTAGGATTTTTCGTGAAGAGTTGAAGAAAAACCCAACTACAGTTGAATGCTTTGATTTAGCTCAATCAAATAGTGAACACAGTCGTCATTGGTTTTTCAAAGGTAAATTAACTATAGATGGTATTCCCATTAAAGAAAATCTATTTGAAATGATTATGAAAACTCAAAATCATTCTAATCAGAATAATGTCATCAAGTTCTCTGACAATAGTAGTGCCATTCAAGGATTTAATGTTTCAGTGTTTTATCCTACAGATTCAGATCAACCTAGTTATTTTAAAACTAAAGGTAGTGTAAGACACATCATATTTACTGCTGAGACGCACAACTTTCCGACTGGAGTTGCACCATTCAGTGGAGCTGCAACTGGTACTGGCGGTAGAATAAGGGATGTCCAAGCTGCTGGTCGAGGTGCTCATGTTATTGCTGGATCTGCAGCTTATAGTTTTGGCAATTTAAATATCCCTGGATATGATTTACCATGGGAAGATAAAAGTTTTGAATATCCTTCTAATTTCGCTCTTCCAGTAGATGTTGCTGTTGAGGCTAGTAATGGTGCATCAGATTATGGTAATAAGTTTGGTGAGCCAATAATATTGGGATTTGCTCGATCATTTGGTATGAAACTTAGCAATGGTGAAAGAAGAGAGTATATTAAGCCTATCATGTTTACTGGTGGTATTGGTAGTATTGATGAAAAACAAATCAAGAAGAAGGATCCTGAGTTAGGTATGCTTGTTGTCAAAATTGGAGGTCCTGTTTATAGAATTGGTCTTGGTGGAGGTGCTGCTTCATCCGTCCATGTCCAAGGGGATCAGAAAGAAGAGTTGGATTTTGGTGCAGTTCAACGAGGTGACCCTGAAATGGAACAAAAGTTAAATAGAATTGTGAGAGCGTGTGTTGAACGCGGTATTGAAAGGTGTGACAGAAATGTAATCGCAAGTATTCATGATCAAGGTGCTGGTGGAAATGGTAATGTTCTTAAGGAAATAGTTGAAGGTGCTGGAGCTGTTATATATGCTGAAAATTTCCAATTAGGTGATCCTACCCTAAATGTGCTTGAACTTTGGGGTGCAGAATATCAAGAAAGCAATGCAATTTTAGTGCATCCTAAGGATAAGAATATTCTTCAAAGCATTGGTAACAGAGAAAAATGTTCTGTAAGTTTTGTTGGAGAAGTTACTGATACTGGTAATGTAGTTTTAGTTGAAAAGAAAGATGTTACAACTTCTCGTCATCCTGTTGATTTGAAACTATCATGCGTATTAGGATCTGTACCTCCAAAGAAGTTTGATTTAAAGCGAGAACAAGTAAAGTCTAAATCCTTAACAATTTCTGAAGATGTAAGTCTGATTTCCGCATTAGAGCGAGTTTTAAGACTGCCTTCTGTGGCTAGCAAGAGATATTTAACAAACAAAGTTGATCGCAGTGTCACAGGGTTGATTGCTCAGCAGCAGTGCGTTGGTCCTCTTCACACTCCTTTAGCAGATGTTGCTGTTATTGCACTTTCTTACTTTGACACAGTTGGAAGTGCTACTTCTATTGGAGAACAGCCTATTAAAGGTCTTCTTAATCCAAGTGCTGGAGCTAGAATGTCTGTAGCAGAAGCTCTGACAAATTTAGTCTTTGCCAAAATATCATCAATAAAGGATGTTAAATGTAGTGGGAATTGGATGTGGGCAGCAAAACTGCCCGGTGAAGGTGCTGCACTTTATGATGCTTGTAGGGCTATGTGTTCTCTAATGACAAAACTTGGAATTGCTATTGATGGTGGAAAAGATTCTTTGAGTATGGCTGCTCGTGTTGGTGGTGAGACTGTTAAAGCTCCAGGAACTCTCGTCATATCTGCATATGCCCCTTGTACTGATGTAAGACTAACTGTTACACCTGATTTAAAATGTCCTGATGACAAGGGTGTTATACTGTATGTTGACTTGTCCAATGGTAAATCTAGACTAGGTGGAACTGCACTGGCTCAATGCTACAATCAATTAGGAGCAGAAAATGAAGTTCCTGATGTAGAAAATCCCAAAGAATTAAAAGATTCTTTTAAAGTTACTCAAGACTTGATTGGGAATAAAAAGATTACTGCTGGTCATGATATTAGTGATGGTGGACCTATTGTTACTCTCCTTGAAATGGCATTTGCTGGAAATTGTGGAGTAAAAGCTAATTTTGAAAATAAAGGATCTATACTGGCCACAATGTTCAATGAAGAACTGGGTTGGATTTTAGAGGTTAAAGAAAAAGATGTAGAATCAGTGATAAGTGCCTATGGAAATCATGGAATTACATGTTTTAATATTGGTTACAGTTACAATCATGGTAAAAATTCAAATGTTGTTGTATCCATCGATGCAGTTGAAGTTCTGAATGAACCAATGGTAACACTGAGAAATCTATGGGAAGAAACCAGCTTTCAATTAGAACTTAGGCAAACTAACAATATTTGTGTTGAAGAAGAGAAACTGAGTCTTTTATCACGCTCTAAGCCTGACTACTCTATATCTTTTGATATATCATCTCTTAAGGTTCGTTCTACATTTAAGTCTGGACCTAGAGTTGCTGTAGTTCGAGAAGAAGGTATTAATGGAGACAGAGAAATGATTGCTTCTCTATTCATGGCTGGGTTTGAAGTATGGGATGTAACCATGACTGATCTCATTACCAAAAGAGTTTCCCTAGGAAAATTTCAAGGTATTATCTTTCCCGGTGGATTCAGCTATGCTGATGTCCTTGGATCAGCTCGAGGATGGGCTGCCAGCTTCCTTTTCCACCCTGAGTTAGAAGCAGAGTTTGCCAATTTCAAAAAGCGTCCAGATACTTTCAGTCTTGGTGTATGCAATGGCTGTCAGTTAATGGCCCATCTTGGCTGGGTTGCGCCTTGCAAAGATGAAAGTAACAACATTTCTCAAGGTCTGACTCTTGCCCAAAACATATCCGAAAGATTTGAGTCCCGTTTTGTCTCAGTGAAAATCATGAAATCTCCTTCAATAATGTTAAAAGATATGGAAAACTCCGTGCTTGGAGTTTGGATTGCTCATGGTGAAGGACGCTTTCAGTTCAAGAATGATGAGCTCTCAAATGATATGCTTACACAAAATCTGACTCCGTTACTGTATGTGGATGATAATTCTTCACCAACTATGGAATATCCTCTTAATCCTAATGGAAGTATTGGTGGTATTGCTTCTGTTTGCTCTGCCGATGGCCGACATCTTGCCATGATGCCACATCCAGAGCGTTGTGTTCTACCTTGGCAATGGGCTTGGATGCCTGAAGATTGGAAACAGACTATGGGGGAAGCATCACCTTGGCTAAAGATGTTCACTAATGCATATGACTGGTGTTGCCGAATGAGGTAGTTAATGTAAATTCTAGTTATTTTAAATGAATTTGGTTTGCGTTACATTGAAAGCTTTAAAAATTATTACAACATTTTATTAAATATAGTTTTTGCTCATTGCTTTATGAATGTTAATTTTATTAAGTTATGTAGGTTATAATTTTCAAATTTGTAAATTTTTTTTACGTATCCTTGTTAATTTTTTGCTCAATTCTAAGTGCCATCTTTAAAAAAGTTATGTTTTTTTCTTCGTTATTTTACTTTTCTATACACACATGATTTATACTAACAGTTTTCTGAAAGTCATAAATATTTGCATGGTTACTTTTATTGATGGTGTGAAAAAAATTATGTGATGTGATTTCCGTAACGAATCGAATCAGAATAGGTTTTTGTAGTTGTGCTGATAAATATTAATTGCTGCATCCATTTTTTGTCGAACAAAGAAAACAAAGGATGTAGTTCACCAATCAAACTCAAATTTCACCTGGATTTTAAGAATCTGAAATATCTGGCAATTTTTTTAATATCTACTTTGAAGTCCTAGTTATGAAGTTATATACCGATTTAAATAACTGTTTTTACTGTTAAATATGAAACCTGCATATGCTTGTCAGAAAAGCAAAAACATTTTTGGTTATAAATGGTTGCTATAGTTAATGGATATTATTGATAAAAATCATTTTGGCATGAGATAAATTTGCTTTCATATTTTTATGACACAAAATATTGTTTCCCACTCAAAACTCCTTCTCACTCAAAAGCAAACAAACATGGATAAACAAAAACAGCTTATTTTACTAATTTTTTTTTAATTCAAAAGTAAAAATAGTAAACAATTTTCTTAAAAACAATTCGAGATGTATTTTTTCAATAATTATCTTAATTTATATTTAAAAACAATTTTTAATTTTGTAGCAAAGCTTTAAATAAATTTTGTATTTTAAAGTGTATTTCCTAGTTTAATAAATTACTTAGCACAGTTGATAGAAAATTAAGAACTTTGGTCATTTCAATTCAAATAAATAATCCCTAATTGTTGATTATTATTTTTAAATATAATTCCTCCAGAGAGTTTTTATCTCCAATTTAAAAAAAAAAAAACTCATTCCTTTCTATTTTTTGTTAAAACTTACATTTAAAAAAATTTTATTTCCTTAACAACAACAAAAAAAATTTTTTCTTCACATTTTGATTCAGAATCTTTAAGTTTTTTTGTGTATTTGCTAAACATTAATGCTTGGTATATTTTACTTGTTGGAAGTAACTAAGAATTGTAAATGAAATGCCTTATTTTATAAGGTTTAGCAAATGTCGTGAAAGAACATACACTATATCAAATGCCTTAATTACCTAGTGAAATTGTACTCTGTTAACATATAATTAATGTGTATAATTCCTATTGAGCTTCTTTACTTTAATTATGATATTTAGAAGAGAAAAAAGCATTTTAAAATTATTTCCATTTATATATTTTTATAAATATGTAACTGTATGTATGCTAGTGAAATATCTATCTAAAGGCAGTTAACAGAACTAACTAAGAATTGTTAATGAAATGCCTTATTTTATAAGGTCAAGCAAATGTTGTGAAAGAACATACATATCAAATGCCATAATAACCTAATAAAATTGTACTCTGTTAACATATAATCAATCTGTATAATTCCTATGAGCTTCTTTACTATAATTATGATATTTAAAAACGAAAAAAAAACAACAAGAAAAAAACAAACAAATGAAATAATTTCCATTTTATATATTTTTATAAATATGTATATGTATTATAAAAATTGTTAGTAAAATTTTGTATCTATAGGCAGTCAACGGAAGTTGTGAAAACAAGTGAAAATATCATAATTATCTAATAAAATTGCACACTATTAATGTTAAATTGTTAATAAGATATCTACAATCTTCTTTTAAAGTTTCGATCTGAGAAGAAATGAAATATTTTCAAGAATATATTTACTTTTGTTAAGTATGTTTAGTATACTTGTACTGATGTAAGACTAACTNGAACATTTAGTAATTTAACTTGCGGATAAATTATTAAAAAAATTATAACTTTTCAACAAATTAATATTTTTGCTTCAAATTTTGGGAATATCTTTCTAAATGCTTTATTCACAATCTATGAAATTTTCATTAAAATTGGTTGATATTTAAAAAAAATCATTTTGAACCTGAAGTGTCCCCTTAATTCACTTTACAGCTCTTTGTTGAAAGTGAAAAAGTTTATGTGTGTATTAACAATCATAATTACCCTCTGTCGAAATAAACTGTTAAGTGTAAAATAGGTATTTTTGGTTAGTCAGAAGCAAGCCGCACAAGAATGTTAACTTCCGCCACTTTTTCTGCATTATTTACTTTTTTAAGAAACCGAACAAAATGGACATTCACAGAAATATTAAATAAAATGAAAAATAGTTAAATGTCCTTGCACCTGGCTAAACAAAAGGTATATAAAATTATCGTATTATTCTTTTTAGACTCATTTATTACTTTTATGAAATTTAATTATGTGTGAAATATTTTTTATAATAATATACAAATAATACCATTCCAAGTTCTTTAAAGATATTTTTTTAGTTGTAATTATAGTTTTAAAGAAGTTGTGTTATTTTTTGCGAATTAATAAAAATATTTTTTAAACAATTGACATTGTTATGTAAAAGAAAGTTTGTATTTTGAAGCAAATAAATTTTACATTCTTTGAAATCTGTTTTGTTTATTTTTTTATATGAAATATTTATTTTCTATATCTTCAATGAGGAATATTTATAGATATTTTATTTTCTCCTCTTTTGAATTTATAGTAAAAAAATTTTAAACTTATTATTAAATGGTCTTTTTTATTTGTTGAAATATATTTCACAAAAGTAATTAAAATAAAATTATTTTATGTTGATAATTTTCTCCAAATTTCATGCAATTTGAAAACTATTGTTGTAAAATAAGTTATAACTTTAAAACCAAGAAATGTCTCTATACATAATTTAAGAGTGCATTTGAAGAGTTAAAAATAGAGTTTAATTTTAAGAAGATGTCGAGAAATCTATTATCAAATCTATAATTAATAATTTATATCATCATTTTTAATTTTAAACTTTTTAAATTAAATATGAAATGATTTTTTTTATTATAATTTGTTTTATAGACAGTTAAATGTATTAAATTTTGTAAGCTAATGTTGTGCAACAAAGTTTACGTATTTCTTCTTGTTGACTTATAATATCTACTTTATAATTATCAACATCCTAAATAAAATCTTTATATTAAATCATTTTTTAACTAAATATAGTTTCATAGAGAAGGGTAGAGGATTTAAAAATAAGCAAAATTGTTTAAAATACTAAACAATTTATTAAACAAAAAGTGTATAACAGTGAAACCTCCAAGAAGGACCACCTATATGTAGCGGTCTCTAGTAGAGTGCACTTAAGGGGATACTAGCAATGATTTATTTTTAGAGTAGAAAGTTAAATTTGAAAAAAAAAAAGTTTTTTTAAAAAAACTAAGCATCTTAAACAAACAAACCTTTTTCTAATTTTTTAAAGCTAACTGATTGTTATGATCTAAAGTCCATTGCAAACTTAAACAAAAAACATAATTGTTCATTTATTTAAAACAGTACTATCATCCATAGTTGGATAAGTTGTTTTTCGCGAATATATCAGTAAGGATCATTTTTGTAGATAGTACTAAATTTTATTCATGGATTCGGATTTCAACGCCTACGTAATTGACATTTCTGCACCTGAAATTGAAATCGTTTGCGAAAAATCGTGTACCTTCGATAACATTTTGGAGTCATGGAGGTAACCTCTAAGAACGACCAACCTTTATTAACGACCATTTCACTGTGGAACAAAGAGTAATCCCTCCCGAGAAGTTTCACTGTATTTTACATTGCATTATATGACATATATTTGATGTATGAAACTAATTTTAAAAATTATAGAGTAAAATTAAATTATCCAGCTATTTAATAATTTGATATCCAAGCTTTAATTAATTATGATGAGTTCTCATTTGTAATATTTTATATTATGTATAATATTATTTTTCACATTCTGTTTAAATTTCTAAAATAAGAAATTTTTATTAGTTTGACATAATGATATACTGTTTTATGATGCAACAAGTGTTTTTATAAGACTTCTTTTAATACATTTTTTTTGTAATTATTTTTCAATGAAAATGTATAATTTCAATAACCTCTTTAAGCATTAAAAAACAAAAACGTTTGGTTAAAGCAAATTAAAATCAAAACAGGTTTGCTGTAGCCATTTTTAGGCATATACTTATGCACAGTGCTTAAATGAAAAGAACTAAATACCTTAATAACTTACGATCCATTGACTGGATTATCATGTGCACTGGATTATTATTCTCTATAGATTCAAGAATTAACCTTAAATATGCTAATTAATTTAAGATGACGATATTTTAAGTAACAAAATCAGACACGAAATCAGAATTAACATAAGTTTTTGTTGTTGTTGCGGATTTGGATTCTTGGCCCTCAAAATGTGCAAGATAGCCATAATCCGGAAAATATAGCAAATACCGTATATTCCGGCGCATAACGCGCCCCGGCGTATAACGCGCACCCGTTATTCCTTATAACTTTTTTTAAATTTTAAGATATACTCTTCGTATAATGCGCACGAATATTTGGATTGTACATGTGCAATATCTCGTCTAGTATCAATAGAAAACCAGAAAGTCTTTTATTGTGAGACATGTTTAGGTCCCACCTTACAGATAATACAAAAAAAATGTTGAAGGAATGTAACACCGATATGGCAATTATTCCGGGCGGATTGACACCATTAGTTCAGCCATTGGACGTCAGCTTAAACAAACCATTTAAAGCCAATTTTAAAAAACAGTGGAACACTTGGATGTTGGAGGGCGAGAAAACCTTTACGAAAGGAGGACATATGCGTCATGCAAGTTTGGAAACAGTGTGCGAATGGATATTAAAAGTATGGGATGAAATTAAGCCTGAGATGGTTAGAAAATCATTAAAAAAATGCACCATTTCAAATAATTTGGACGCATCAGAAGATGACTGTTTATTTATGGATGAGGGTAATGCAGATGATGAAGACGAAACAGATTGTGATGACGTGCCTGAAGAAATAACGGAAGACGAATATAATGAACTATTTATGTAATAACGAAAATCAATAAAGTATGTAGGTAAAGGTATGTTATTTCTTTAAAATAAAAGTATTTTTCTATATTTAAATTTTTTTAATCTATAATTTTTTATATTCGGCATATACCGCGCACCCGTAAATTCCAATGTTAATTTTTGTATTAAAAGTGCGCGTTATACGCCGGAATATACGGTAAGTTAAGAGAGTGGACGAAATTTCGGGCACCTTAATATTGTGTGCTATTAGTCTGGAACGGTTCAAAAGAATCGAAAGATATTTATTCTAAATTTTAGGAATCGTTTGTTCATAAAATATTCCAAGCCAAAATCTATTTTAATAACTTTATTTATAATTGTGAAAAAATGTTGAATTGCTACATACACAAATTTCTACGTAATTTTAAACTACAAAATAAAGATTTGATCGAAATCCCTCAAAATTTTCTGTGTTATGAAATTTCATTTTTTTCTCCCTCAAGAACTATTCTTTAAATTAGAACTATTCTTTTAACAGGAACTGTCATTACAAATTACGTAGCTAAAAGTTGTGTAAAAATTTAAATGCCTTACAATTAATTTTTTACCATTATTAT